TTTCTCGCGAATACAAAAAACAAAATCAAGAAAAATAATCACTTGAAAAACGTTAACGAACCTTTATTATTAATTATCAACGCTACAGGAGAGGATATTCTTCATTTTTCGATAGGCCTACGAGTTCTAAGAATATTCTACGATTTATTAGGGAAATGTTGAATACAGGTATGCCAAAATAACACGCATGAAAAAATTCAACAGAAAAACCTAGCGCTTTCTATTAAATTTCTATTGGAATTCTATGAGAATTCTCTGGAAGTTCTATTAGAATTCTATTTGTTTCTTGCGCCGATTCTATAGGAGATTATGCAACTTCATAGAGTCTTTTTGTTAAGGTAAAATTTGGTGCAAGAAAGTAAATAGGTTTTTATGTTCCTATAGATTTTCTTAGGCGTAAGATTTCTAAGTTTTTTCCGCTCGGTTTTTCTTCTTTTCTTTTAATCAAATGTAGGAACAAAACTTGGAAAATTCATGCCCAGTAGTTTCTGTGCAAGAAATCCTAACAGAATAAATTATCTAGAAAAATCAATGGATTATTTTCTACAAAGAAATATCTATTAAAAATGCAGGAGAAAGTTGCATAATTTTCAATGGCATTGACGCAAAAAAAATAGAATTTTTCAATAGAATTGCAATAAAACTTAAATAGAATTCTCATAGAGCTCCAATAGAAATTCAATAGGAATTCTTAGAGAAAGTGCCAGGTTTTATATTCGATGACAGAGGGAAAAATCAGTAAATTTCAAATTTTATAGAAAGTTCAGTGGAATTCCATTTTTTTTTATAGTACGAAGACAAGTATTTTCCAAAGTATTCAAATTTTAAATCGATATTATAAAAATGCATAAATATCATTCTATTCCACCCTCCACTCGAAACGACACGACTCAATCGGAGCTGAGTTCTAAGCGTTGAGCCACAGCTCAAACTCAAGTGCCGGGTTATGCCGTCTGATGAGCGTTCGACTGTGAGCCGGTATGGAGCGGCGTGTCGCGGCGTGAACTCGGGTCAAGCGGCAAGCCGAGGCTGAGCTCGCGCTCACGCGAGTTGCGGCTGAGTCCCCGGTTGAATTTCTACCCGGGATAGGTGGTGGGGAATTTAATTCTCCATCAAACTGCTCTTTTTTCATCCCTTAATCTCAATTAGGAGGGGAGAGGTGAATTTTTAATTACCGGGAGTCACTGTGCGCCGCGAAACAATTATTTTTCTTACTGGCCCCTGACTTTCATGGCAGCTTTTATTTTTTTGTTACAGAGATTAAGGGATAAAAGAGGGTTAATTAATGGAGAATTTGATTCTCCGTCGAACTGCTTCTTTTTTCATCCCTTAATCTCAATTAGGAGGGGAGAGGTGCATTTTTAATTACCGGGAGTCACTGTGCGCCTCAAAACAATTATTTTTCTTACTGCGCTGTGATTTCCATGACAGTTTCTTCCATTTTTTACAGAGATTCAGGGATGGAAGCGTGTTAATTTATGGGTAATTTAGTTCTCCGTCAAACAGCCTTTTTTCATCCCTTAATTTCAATTAGGAGGGGAAAGACAAATGTTTAATTCGCGGGCGAATGGTGAAAAGTCACTGTGCGCCGAGAAGAACATTATGTTTTTCATTGGCCCATGACTTTTGTCGTAGTTGTATTTTTTTGTGACAGAGATTAAGGGATGCAACGGGGATCGATTGATGGGGAATTGAATTCTCCATCACACCGTCTGGGTTTCATTCCTTAATATTAATTAGCCAGCAAATGAATTACCTGAAAAACATTAAGAACATGTTGAGGACGAGGAGAGCATAAATTCCACTACAAAACTATCCCTGTGACAGCGGGACTGCTACTGCGTACTGCCGAGTTACCCGCACAGGCAGTTCGCCCGGCCGTCAGTTTCGACCGTGGCGCCATCCCTCCATTGGGGTCGAACTATTTTTGGCTTGGGGTCACTTCAACCCCGAGATCTGAGCCTCTACTTTAGTCAATCCTCTTTGAGTCGTGCTGCGAAGGGAGGGGCGACGAGCGATTCTTTGTTACTGCTCCACCTTGTGTCGAGTGTCAAATGCTTACGTAACGCGAAATTATTTTCTGCTGTGATAGGCCTAGACAAGAAGTGAAGAGAAAAACAAAAACGTTAGGTGTATAAAGTTTTAGCCAGCAGACGAAGGTTTCTTGCAAATTGAATGAAGAATTAAGTATTTTGAGTGGCGTAGGTCGAGGTAAATATATTGCGCGAACGGGGTAGGGTAGACAAAAGATCGGTTTTGATGCGATTTATCATTCAGTTTGCTAATACTGATGAATTGTTGATTAGCGCCACATCGGAATATTTTTTTCTTATTCCCTATCTTTCGATTCAGAACAAACGTTTCAGATTTAATAATGAGGGTTGACCACTAGCTTCCATCGACCCGGCCATAGTGACTCGCCCTGACGAGTATGACAGCAGCGGTCATGGAAAATATTTCCTGGGATCCTGGTGAGTTTATTGTAAGACAAAAAAAGTAGTTGCAATTGATTCATGTATAGTAATCGGCTTCCCTAATACCGCAACACAATTTAGTTCATACGGTTAATCTTCCTTTTTATCGATGTATCGGTCAGGATACATTTCAGTTGGTAGAGAATTTTCATAGGTTTTATTCGTTAGAGAATTCCAACTCAAACGTGGTTGACTTCCCAGGGAACAATTTTTACGGATGCAATCTAAAAGTCCCCAGCAAGACCGGTAAATATCCGGAAATTTACCGGTAAATTGCTAGCTGGATTGTTTGTAAGAAGAGCTATAAAGGTTCAGATCAAAGTCAAATATGTTTTGGTTATGCATTTAACTCTGGAACTTTCGGGAAAGTGATAGAAATTCTCATGTTGGATTTCGTGAGATAATTTCAGTTACAGCAGTTTCTATCGTTGTTTTTATTCTCAATAACAACTTTTATGAAATAATCCTTCCATGCCAATTGAAATTGTATCTCAACTATTAAGTTCATGGCAGATAAAGTTTGGTTTAATTCCTCAAAAGTTCACGTTATTGATTTGTGTCTTTCGTCTAATTTTCTAGCTCTTTCTAAACTTCTGAACTCCCTCGAGGAGCATAAAACCGACATACCAAGCTGCACAGATGAGGAGTTTGGTTTTCTTAATGATTTATTGCGGTCAAAAGAGCTAAATGCTCTCGTCAATGTACACAACAAGATTTTGGCTAATGTGCAGGATGAAAAATTCGCCCCTGTATTGTCTAATTCGATGGACATCGATATTGAAGTTCTAGATATGCTAGCATCGAAGACACATATTTCAGAGGAGTGCAAGGAATTATTCCATTTGCTTCAGAGACCTCACATACAGGTACATGAGTTTTTTATTTTTTCCATTACATTATTTTTACTTCAAGGCCCGAAATTATCTTTTGAATGTTATCTGCGAATCCTTAGCACCCATTATAATAAGGGAAATAAAAAACAATTGAAGAAAGTTCAAGAATTTCGATGAATTCCTAAATTACCTCCATATTCATTTCAGATTGTACTTTATGATTTACCATTGTATTGTGTTGAACGGGTGATGGAAAATGTCCCCAAAATAATAGAAAATTTTTTAAAGACAATTTTTAAGTATCTGTTTTACGATTTGACATAATTTCAGGTTTTATTAGCCGGCATAATGGAACCTACTCTGGTTTATGGACTTTGGCACACTGAATCTTAAGGAAGGCCGCGGTGAATTTGAAAGTTGCAGGGGGTTATTTTCATCTTACAGATGACTGATATTTTTTTTTATATTCCAAAACTGAGAAAAAATCAGGTTTCGATGTTTTCCAATGACGGCATGTGGCTGTACAGGCATTAAATCTTCAAAACAGTCCCCTTACCAGGATTTTTGGTCGATTGACTTGAATTTTGGTTTCCATCCATCTAATAGAGCAATTCCATGTCAAATCCGAAATGAATGACGCAGAACCTACCCGAAAAACTGGCCGATGGACACGGCCGTATCATCACTCCCAGGGACCCTTCCCCCATGAGAACCTATAGGGGGTAACCTATTCGAATTTCGCAAGGGGAAAATGATGCCGGACATCCCCGCACGGAGAGAAAAATACACGACAATCTCGTCGAAGGTATCGCCAAAAATTATTGTGCTACCTACCAATGCGGGGACGTGTCAGGGGGTACGTTGGTAATCGAAATGTAACACTCCTATAATTCGGGAGAACAAGTTAAAAAATAGTAGGTGCGCACCACAAAGTCGTGCGCTCGGGGATCCAAAAATTAGGGTGCCAATCCACTAAACGCCATACGATAGCCTACGTGCATACGAAGCTTATTCATTCTTCAAAGCACAGAGGTCACCACTTAGTAGAGGAGCACAGGCGAAAATTTAGTGAATGGCACACTAAAATTTGGAGAAGGGCCCGCCAGTTTTTCGTCTTTAATTCCATAAAAATGCGATTCTTTAGACTAGTTTCTAATGAGCGAAAAAAAGTGGGGTGCAGGACACGAAATTTTGGAGAGAGTAGTTCTAATTTGGGTAGTCTTCTCTATTTATTTGTGCCCCATTCGGTACGACCCATGCGTTAGTGGGAAGGTATACTAATTTTCGAGAGATTTTTTTCTCCGTGCGCAGGTCATAAAAAACCTCGAGTAATTTGGAGCGGGGGAAGAGGATGTTTGGGGGCGGAAACCACAAAATTTTACATTTTTTTTCAAAAAAAAATATTCCCACTGGATTGGGGGGAACCGACTCAAATTTCTGAACGAGAATATGGTCTCAGGCATCCTCGCAGGCTTCATAAAAGACCCCGAGTAATTTGGAGCGGGGGAAGGGGGTTTTTAGGGGCGGAATCCACAACATTTTACATTAAAAAAAAAATATTCCCACTGGATTGGGGGGAACCTACTTAAATTTTTCAACGAGAATATGCTCCAAATTACTCTTCCTCCGCTCCAAATTACTCGGATTTTTTTGAGGCCTGCGAGGATGTCCGAGATCATATTCTCGTTGAGAAATTTAAGTAGGTTCCCCCTAATCCAGTCCAAAAATTTTTTGTTTTTTGAAAAAATCGAAAATTTTGGGGATTCCACCCCCAAACTCCCTCCTTCCCCGTTCCAAATTACTCGGGTTTTTTTTATGAGGCCTGCGAGGGTGTCCGAGATCATATTCTCCTTGAAAAAGTTAAGTAGTTTCCCCCCAATTCGCTGGGAATTTTTTTTTTGAAAAAATGGAAAAAGAAGAGGATTTTAGCCTTATTGCTCCCTTTTGCAACTGTCTAGGAGGGAGAAAAATTTTTCATAAGGACGGGGGAAGTTTGGGGTCATCTTCCAATAACAAAATTGGAGGGGTATCTTTCATCTTCGATGGTCAGGGCCCCTCAAATTCTTGGTACGCCCTAAACTTTTTTCGGCCAATTTCCCGGCTAGGTTCAGCGTCATCGAAATGAAAAAAATGTCATGTTTCCGATTGTCCTGTCGATTTTTTTCGAGAAGGAGTGCATGATACCAAGCTATCATAAAATTTTTAGAGCGGTGCGATTTTTTTTTAAGCGAGTTATAATTTTTCAAAAAAATTCACTTTTTCTACTTGAATTTTGATTGTTTGAGAAAAAGGTGAAATAATTGAATTTAGTCACTAGGAATCGACGTTTTGTTCCCACACATTGGAAGGTAATTGGAAAAGCTTCAAAATGAGCGCAGTTGATCTCAATTTACTCAATTTTTAGAGCCGTTATGGCAAAATCAATTTTTTTTTTCAATCTGCAATGACTCGAAAACTTAATTTTTTTTACTTGGCTTTTTTTGAAATATTTATGACGTGTTGAATTATTCATAAAATGGAATAGTTTTATTTTCCAATTGGAAAACAATGATTCCTCTGTGTGATGAGCTTAGACTGAGCTCAATTGATAAATCTATTTCTATGTTATGAATATTTAAAAAAAAAATCAAAAGTGTCCATTTTACTCCACGCTCCCCTAATTGAAAAAGTGACTTACCGTGGAGATACCAGTATCCGACAGTCGAGCCCACTTTCCTTCGTATTTCGCTTTTTTTTTTGTATTTCTCAACTAAAAAGCACTTCCTTTCAATAGTCGATAGGAAGGAACTTTTTCTCTGTTTATTAAACTGCGAGTTTTGGCTTCTATGTGTAGAATAACTTTTAAAAGAATTTTTTTCCGTCGGTCAGCCTATAGGCGACACCTGCAGTGACAGTTTCTTAAGTAAATAGCTTAGCGTCCTGGTTTTGCGTATGATGGCGAAAAACCAAAATATGAGTGAATATTCCAATTAAATATTTTCAGATACTAATAGGATGATATCAGAGACGCGTAGAGACCGCTAAATTACTTAAAAATATGCACAATGGATAACAATCACGATTTTGGATATTGGGACACTCGTAAAGCAGTCTGTCCTAGTATCCGACCCGTATTTTTTGTTCATCTAACTTTAATTACATTGTTTTGTTGGACACGGAGAAAAAAAAATACAGGAATTTTTCGGGAGAAATTCAGGGAAAAATTACCGTGCAGTCTCGTAAAGTGGGTTCAATTGACCAATACCATAAAAATTCCAGTGCCGTCCCAGAAAAATTCCGGTACCCCCCTAGAAAAATTCCGGTGCTGCATATTAAAAATTCCGGTACCACATAGTAAAAACCTCTACTTAATTCTCCAAATGAAAAATAGTGATAGAAAAATTATAAGAACCAAATCTTCAACTCAATTTTGCAAATTAAAAAGAATTGAATATTAAAAATCAAAAATTGAAGAAAAAAATTGTCTTTAAGGTCCGGGTGTACTATCATTCGAATGTTATCTGGATTTTTTTTATCTTTTGTAATCCAAAATTGTCAATTAAGTGATACATCACGTAGAAATTCCCAAAAAGAATGATAAAAAAAAAATTTATAAATTCTGAACTGTTCCAAAGAGCATTTTTAATTGGGATTCAGAATGAGTTGAAAAAAGTGGAAATTTCAAATATCTGATTCGCTATAGCAAATTATCTATTAGCTGTAATTTTCCATGGTGGATAACAAAACACTAACTCCTTATGGGAACTGACAGCTATGTATCTCAATTTTCAAAACAGTGGTATGTAGTCATCTGCCATTTTTATGTGATAAAAGTGTGATTAAAAAATTCTCCAAAATATTACAACTTTTTTCAAAGAGTCTTTTCCGTAATAAATGTCTCTGTGGAGTGTGGGAAAAGATTTACATCAGTCTTTCCCCTGCATGATATTGGGTGACAGGCCGCCATTTGTCACCGTAAATCAGATACATTTTTGAATTTCTTGTTATTCTACTTATTCTGAATGTAAATTGAAAATGCTCTTTGAAAAAATTGAGAATTTTTTCTACTTTTTTTTTATTATTCATTCATAATTTTGCAAAACTTCTGCATGATGCTGGACTTAATTGACAATTTCAGATGACGAAAGGTGAAAAAAAACATCGAGATAACTTTCAAAAGATGCTACACCCGGGCCTTAATTTGATTTTCTAAATCAAAAACAGTGATTCAAAAATTAGAAGAAGATTTTCAACTTAATTTTTTTTAATTAAAAAGAAAACATTGAATGTTCAAAATTAAGAACTGAAAAAGAAAATAAAAATTTTTACTTATTTTTTCGAATAGAAAATTGTGATTTAAAAAAATGGAGAAAACAATTTTCATCTCAATTTTTCCATAAAAAAATGGATACTGAAAATTGAGATTTGAAAAAACAAATCAAAATTTTTTTCAACTTTATTTATAAAATTGAAAAATTTTCGAATAAAAAAATTCTTCAGCTCCATTTTCAAAATAATCAAGTTTTCTTTTAATGAAATATTCAAAATTTAAAAAATCATGTTACTCACCTGTGAGTTTTTATTCCGTTCCTATTTTGGGAATTATTATCATGACTAATTAACCATTGGAATAATTCATGAATTTATTGATCAAGGAACGAAGGAGATTATAAATTCGAAACAACAATATTCTTTTATCTTCATTTCATTTTCAATCACTTTTTTTTTCATTAGCATATTTATATAATAAATTTTTAAAAAGCAAGAAAAGTTGAGTTTCCGAAGTTTTCGTGCTTGAATTAAAAATTTTGAAATCGTTTATACCAGAAATCAACAGGATTTAATCTTTCTATACAACTTATCCTATTGAGATATTTTCTGTTAATAATAAATTCTATAACATAAATTTCCTGAGTTTATTTCACCTCCTTTTTGTTCTTCTCCCATTGGAAAAATCAAACAAAGAGTTGAAAAAATTCAGGCGGTTGAATTTTTACACAAAATATCTCAATAATATAAATTGTATGGAACGATCAAATTCCATTCAATTTTTCTACACAATAATTTTTATTAAACATTTTTTATTGACAAAAAAACGCGCAGAAGAGCTGCGCAATTTTTCAATAGAATCGGCGAGACACTTATAAAATTTTCAAAAAAAAGTTCAATACAAATTCAATAGAATTTTATGGGCTCAATTTTTCACTCGAATTTTTCCCACGTGAGTAATGTCCCTGGTGATTTGCCCACGAAGAAAAAATACTCTCCATGATCAGGGGGTGAACCATGGAAGATGGTTATCTGGAACAAAAATGGAAACTTAATCAAATTAAGAAATTGTGTGAATTATTTTACACTCGTATGAGAAAAGTGAATGCAAAATTCCTATGGAAATCAAGATTCTAAGAGTCTGATTCCTACGGAAATCAAGATTCTGTTCAAGATTCTATTAGAGTTGCTTTAAAATCATATTAGAAAATTCTTCTTCTTACGCCGATTTCTGTCTAAAATTGTGTAACTCTTCCCTGTAATTTTTAAATAGATATCTAATTGACAAGAAGATTCTGATTTTCGGATCTGATCTGTGCTCTTGATAAAATTATTTTCTCTCGTATACCCTTTCGGGTTTTTACGATTTGTTCCCTTCCCACCCCCCAACCCCCTGTACCGCATTCGCCGAAAGTAGTAAGAGGGCATATTGGCGAATTTTCCACGCTCCCTCCGACCTTTTTCCGGAAAGTGCACGTGCACGTTCCCCCCTCCCCCCTCGGCGGCATGCCTTTGAAGAGGTCGTCGGTGCGCTGGGGGGCCCCCTGGGGTGCAGGGCCTCAAAGTTGGGGTCCGAGGGTCACAGGAAGTGGGTGGTGGGTGGAAAATGGCCGCCAGATAGAAAATGAGTGGCGGGTGGAAAGTGGGTGGTGGGTGGAAAAGGGGTGGCGGGTGGAACGTTGGTGGCAAAGGGCTGGCGGGTAAATAGAAAAACTGTCGGACAGTATATATCGGACGGGTGTCGGGAGTCGGGCCTCTGCTGGTGGTCCAACCGTGGAGGACGGCGTCGGCAAGGGTCTGGATGTCGCTCTCCAGGACATTGGAGCCACTGTCCTTGAGACT